TGGGACCCAGCGTCCAATCGATTCAGAGATATTCTCTAATGGATATATACAGACCGAAGACGGTCCGTATATATTTAGTTAAATAATATTTTATTCATATTTTTTAGTATTTAGTATTTATTTTTTTCAGAAATAATATTCGGACCGAAAACGGTCCGAATATTATTGGCGCGTCTATACTGTGGATTCCCGCCAGAAATATTTTTTGGTATTTAATATTTATTTTTTTCAGAAATAATATTCGGACCGAAACCGATCCGAATATTATTGGCGCGTCTACACTGTGGACTCCCGCCAGAAATACTTTTTGGTATTTAATATTTATTTTTTTTCAGAAATAAATATTCGGACCGAAACCGGTCCGAATATTATTGGCGCGTCTATACTGTGACGCCGCCAGAAATATACGGACCGATACCGGTCCGAATATGTTCATTGGTATATTCAGACCGATATTGGTTCGAATATTTAGTTTTTCAGACCGACAGTATTTGGTCCGTATATGGTCGGTCCGTATACGTCATTTTTCTAGTAGTGATTATATATAAACTCTCACTTTTTTTTGCACCAATATATTATATTCTCCTCTTTATATTTTTAATTTCTTTTTGCTAACATGAAAAGTTCTAAATATTATTTTTCTTTTTGTTTCTTATCTCATATTGTAACTAAATATAATATTATGTTTTTATTTTATTTTTTCCTCCTTATCCAAAATATGTATATTGTTGTATGAATTATTTTCTATATTAGTTTTATTATTCTTTTTATGAATTTTGTATAAAATATATGATATTGTTTTTTTGAAAGAATTTTATAACTTTATCTGTTTAGAATTTATGCATTTTTTTTCTTTGTAAATTATTGATGGTTTGAATTTTTTTTTTTTTTTTTTTTTGTGTTAAGGATAGAACTTTACTTATAAGATTGGAGTCAACTAAAATGATAAAAGCATTGATTCATACACTAAGCTAAATAAGAAATGTATGAATTTGATAAAAATCAAGTCATATGAAAATACTATTTTTTTTACAAGAAGGTATTATGTTTCTTATTTTATTTATATTATACTATTATTAACATTTTAATCCTTATAAATATAAATTCTACTTTACATTCCTTTTAAATTATATATATATCCAATATTATTACCACATATATTTAGGAATATGCATTCATTTGTGCCAAAATCCTGTTCAATTCACTTTCTTTTTGCAACTTTGATTTGAGTAATTATATTAACATATCAAAATAAATGATAATACAAGTTAAGGAATAGAATAGGAACGAAAAAAAAACTGACAAAAACTTAGAAATGATAGAAGGGA